AAACCGTCACCAGCCTTTTCTCTCCCAGCATTTTCAAGCCGTAGGTGGCACAAATAAAAACACCACCTGGCATTTGTATGGCACTTCACAAAGCCACTCTCCTCACCAACCCCTACGCTCAGCCCCAGACCATTCTCAATCAACCCGTGTCTATCCACACCCCTACTCTTCCTGGTGGCCAGCCCCGTGCCAGACACTGCAGGGCCGGGCCACATGCTCCCCCCCTGGGGAGTCCACGTGTTGTGTGAAGAGTTTCCTCATAGAGAGTCAGACAGCCAGAAATGTGGGCAGAGAGCGAAGGGCAGCTTGTTCAGGTTTTGTTTATTATGTTCTCACAGCCTGTGTATAGTAAAGGCGAATGTATTTCACTTTACATGGTAATGAAAGAACTCAGTGAGGACTCGGTTGGCCAAGCGGTCTATATGGCAGATGAGCTGCTATAACTCTGTTGTGCTCCGTGAGTGACCAGCTAAGGCTACTGTGGTCGGGGCACATGAGGGGCCTACTTGCCTTTTCCTAACCTGGTAGAGGGGGAGGAGCAGAGGGGTTAAGTTCAAGAAATGGACAGTTTATTGAGAGGACCCCAACCCTAAACCTGGTGAGGCCCATAAATCCCTTCCATTGTGTCCCACAGCATCCTGTAGAGTCCTTGAGAAGCCTCAGGGACAGGAAGCCATCTCTCTTCTTGGCTTCTCCCTCCTTGTCTCGTGCCAAGTGACACGGTGGCACAGACGCTCAGCGCCAGGAGTATTGGTACCACCTCTCTTGTTTTAACTGGAAGGGGATGGATCTCAGGAAAGCTGACACTTGACAGACTGAAGGCAAGGGTAGAAAACCACAGTTCCTCTGCAGGGTCAACGGAGTTCTGAGGTTCTTGCTAGAAGACCATCCTGCCTATGAATGCGTGCCCCTTCACCTTTATCTCTGGGACACGGAGAAGCAACTGCCATGTAGCAGCTGGGGGTCTCTCCTGCCTCGCCCCTTCCTCATCAGGCTTCCTCCACCTTGCCCATCCTCCCCCAGTTCTCATGCCTTCCCCTCCCAGCAGAAAGAGCTTCTCTATTGTCCAGGGCATGTGGAACTGTCCAGGACAAACACCTGGGCAGACTATTCACCTGTTCACAGCTTTGGTTTTTCAGAGCAGCAAGTTCTGGGGAAAGCACCAGAAAATAGAGCCAGCTTGCAGCTTCCTTGCTGCCTATCCAACATGGGGCCAAAGAAAATAGTGAGGGCTTGAAGCAAGGATCCATGTCACACTGTAGTCTTGGAAAAGCCTCTCAGATTGGATCTCTGTGGAGGAAGGGGCAACCTCCACAGAGAAATTTGGAAGATGATGTATCATGATCGTCACTACCAAGACACTCTTCACTCCCTAGCTACAGTCCAGCCACCCTACTGCGTGACCTTGGGTACAGAGGCACAGCCTGACACACAAAGGCCAAACACAAGAGTATATGAAGACAAACAGAGATAGAGTTCATGATGCAGGCCTGGAGGAAGCGCTGTGGTAAAGGCCAGGGAACCGTGGCAACAGTTCTCAGTCAAGTGCCCTTGATGTTCCCCAAGCTTGGCGTACCTACTGCCAACTACTGCACTTAGCCTGAACCCAAACATAACCTCAAAGGAGCCAGTCAGACTGAGAGTCAGCTGCAGAGCGGGCAGGGCATTCTGGTTATTGTGCTTTTGGCATCCAGGTGGGCTGTCGGGCCCTGTTTTACTCAGTTTGATTCCTCTTCGTTGCTCAGGCTGCTGCTTCCTGTCCACATCTGCACATTGGAACCACTAGTGGGACATTAAAAACTACTGCCACCTGGCTCCCTCCAAGCCGCTCCGATTCAGCTACTCTGTGGTAGAAACTGAACAGTTAGGTTTTGTTGCTGTTGTTGTTTGATTTCGTGCTCCCCTGGTAAGCCTAGTGAGCAGTGATGTTGAGAACCACTGTCCTGGGCCGTCTTTGTCCAATGGCTGCAGGCCATTACACATCCTGGAGCTTCTTCCTTTTGTTCAATGTTGGTTTAAGGGTTCCTTGCCTAGGTCTATAGAATCAGCACCTCCTCTGGGTGTGGAAGCTGGGAGTTAGCATTTGTGAGGGGCTTTCAAGGTGATTTCTATTCTTCACATTCATGCTTAATAATAAATACTACTTGAGGGTATTTCTCCCCTTTCAACCCGGAACACTCACATTGTCAGTGACTGAGATCTAGTTAGTCCACAAGAGCAACAGCAAATCACACACCAGACCCAAAGCAAGTCAACACTCCGGTGGGACCAACCGGCCGCTCGGGGATGGAAAGCCACAGCCCTGTGTCCTGCTGCCTGGGCTGGCCTGAGTCCGGGACAGTCATCAGCACACTCGCATGACTGGAGCAAAGGAAGACATCAAAGGGAAATGGTGGCATCTGTGATGACGACCTGGTGAGGCAGATGAGGCTCGTAGAGGAAGAGGTGAGGGGAGGAGACTGGGAGACGTGGAAGCTTGGAGATGAGGTATGCTTGGATATTGCTCTAGATGTTGTAAACATTTCTCTCTTTCATCATAGACCAAAATCTGGGCTAGCATGACCAAAGTGCCTAAGAGGAGAGGTATCAGGGCTGGAAGCTCTGTGCCTTCTATGAGAAGCTGGGGAGACAGGGTATGTGAAAAGCTACTCACACGAAAAGATCATGTCTGCGGTGTACTGCCCAAGACTCACAACTCACAACCAAACACAAACAGATACACACACGTACATACACACACGAGATGCTCCATGGAGTACCATAAATAGAGCTATCTGCTCCTCGACACAGACACAAACTCACACGTCCTTGTCTAGCTACAAAACTCAGGATATTCAAACTCGGTCCTTCAGACCACCTGTGTGGAAAGGAGTCACCAGGGTGCATGACATCACCATTCATAGCCTTCATCCCACCAATGGCTGGCAAGGACTCTAGGCCCCAAAGGAGGGTGCCACACCATGCACATGGAGCCATTTTTGCATCAAGATAGTACCAGTGGTGAAAAGGCCCTACTAGGGGGATTCCATCACTGCAGGTCCAGTGTATATGCACCTCATATTGGACAGTAGCATTGGCAGCAGATGCACATTTCATATGTAAACAATGTTTAAAATACCCTGTGAGAGAATTTAATCATTACATGAATTCTGGCAGCTTTAGCTAAGAATATTTTTATATCAGGGTGGGGAAGTCTCTGTGCTCTAACTAGGAACATCACTTGAAGCTTCAGAGTTCTTATTAAATGTGACTGCCACAGGTTCCTTCAGTGTGAGGCCTAGAAAGTAGATATTCTCTCTCTTTGAGGTTCACACCCAGACACTAACTAACACCCACTCACAGATGACAGTGTGCCACTAGGAGGGCAGTTGGCACTAACACAGTAGGACTCAAGGACCTTCTTGGCCTTGTCTGGCTACAACCAAGGAAGGAACTGATTCTCCAAGACCAGAATACAAACCCTAGGATACTTCAGAAGGGCTAGCATCCCACAGAAGGACAGTGTCAGCCCAGCCTTCTACCACCAGCTTTCTAGGGCAGCCTGGCCACAGACTATTTCATTCACTCAAACTGAAAGCTTATGGCTCTTCAGTGAGCCCAAGCTGACTGGTTGTGAATTATCACAGCAGCGCCTTCACCACATTCTCAGTTCACCCAGAGACCAGCAGCTTCTAGGTTCATCTTCCATCTTCTACTCTCTATACTGAAGATTCATCTTCCCATCCCTGCAGGGGACGGCAGGGTCAGCTTTCTCCCGGGGAACTTCAGAGATTCCATGATGTCCATGCCTCCTCCAAGAAAGAGTATCCTGGTGCATTTCCAGGGTACGACACAAGCATTGCAGGAGAGTTTCCGCAGCCTGGTATTCACAGTGTTCCCAGGTCAGTTCCAAAGGCTAGAGACCAAGAAGGCAGCTGTTTCTCAACAGCCAAAAGTGGACCCTTTCTAAGAAAGCATGTCCAGGAAGCAAGCTGCAATGAGAGTTTCAGGCTAGGTTCCCAGGCTCCCCCATCATAGTTACATGGCCTGCATGGAAGGAGGAGGTGGAGAGACAGGGAAAGCATCGGGCACTAGGAAAGCTGTCATGCTATGGGAATTTACCTCCCTTTGCCAAGCCGTCTTTCATCCTAAGAGATCAGTGCTATGTGATGCTGTGGGAAGGTGAGGACGTGGAAAACACTAGGCAACAGACAGGTCATATGGAGCCTCACTGCACAAAAGTCTACCGATGCTACATTCCCTGGTCACTCGGCTTCTAGAAAAGTTCTTAATAGAATTGAAGAAGATTCACAAACTCTATCTTTCAAAAGGACTCTCAAGACCCTTTCTGAAATTGCAAGTGTAAGGGAGTTCAGTGAGTTCCTTAGACTGAGAAGGGACCTCAGACTCCTTATTGGTCCCGTGGAAACGGAAGACACAGTCAACTCCAGGGAATATGTCCTTTGTCAAAGGTCACCTGTCAATGGTCCTATGGAGCTGGAATTCCAAAGAGACTTCTCTTCGAAACTGTGAGGTCCAGTTACTCAGGTTGGGCCACTGGGTTGTAACAGTGCATCATAACTGAGAATCTGAGGCGTCTAGCTACTCCTCCCTTGGGTAAAGGACAAGGTGAAGACCAGGAATCCTACCGAAGAGGGTGTGGTGTGGAGGTGATGGGAACTGCATTTGCGTTATTTACAAATTAGCCCGGCACAGTGAATCTGCCTTCTCAGTAGAGGTGACTGAAGGCATTATGAAGGACCAGTTACTGGCCCACCCAGAGAAGGGTGATAGCAGCGGTGCTGCCTCTAATCAAAACACAAATCTGGGTAGAAGGAAGAGAGTCCCGGCTCTATCAGCTGGGTCATACTTTGGAAAAGCCCTTCACTCCCTTGTCACCCCACAGCCTTCCACCCCAAACCCCAGCGCCTTTGGACAGCTATGACATTTCACGTTAGAATATTGTCTTGGCAGCAAGGGGAAAGGAAAGCCAGTGACTTCCAAGAGTCCCCATCCGAGGTCTAGCTGAGCCTCCTCTGGCTTTGGGACAGCAGATCTAAGTACATTTTGGACCTCAGGAACCGAGGATAAGAGTCTTTCTCCATGAGGCTGTGGACTTTTCCCTGAGCTTGATCAAAACAAGTCAGGGATGGCTCTTGCATGTTCTTCCTCGTGGCCTCTCGGGTCTGGAAATCGATGTTCACCTGGAGATGCAAACAGAGAGCAAGGTCACAGGCTCTCAGAGTCCAAAGCACCTACTGGGCAGTGAGCCCAGCAGCAGCAGTGCCTTACCCTTTAGTTTCCTGAATGCTTCTCAAACTGCTTTCATGGGCTTTGTTCCTTGGGACTCCAGAAGAAATGTTGTGGAGGCTGAAGTCCAGATAGGCTAGTTTCATGTTATAAATAAGGTGAGTGAAGAAACCAGAGACTAGCTGGGGTTGGTGGCACACACCTTAATCCCAGCACTCAAGAGGCAGAGGCAGTTGGGTCTTTGTAAATTCAAGGCCAGTCTGGTCTACATGGTGAGTTTCAGGAAGGCAGAGTTATGTAAAGAGACTATGTCTCAAGAAGAAGAAGGAGGGGGAAGAGAAGAAGGAGAAGAAGAAAAGGAAATGGAAAGAGAAGGGAAGGGGAAGGGGAGAAGGGAAGGAGGGAGGAAAGAAAAAGAAAAGAGGGAGAGAAGGGAGACAGGAGATGGGGGAGGGAGGGAGGGAGGGAGGGAGGGAGGGAGGGAGGGAGGGAGGGAGGGACTACAAAGCTTGTCTAAAAAAGGAGGAGTAGGCAAGAGAACTGTGGCAAGCATTCTCAAATCAAGGAACCCTAATGAATACTGATACCAGACTAATGTGAGTCTCAAGCCAGTTGTTAATGAAGGGCCCACGAAATGTTCTCTCTCATTCTTTCTTAACTACCAAAGCCAACAGATGCCCAATACAGACAGACCCTGGTAACTATCTCTCTATATGTCATTATTAGGGGCTAATAGTATTCTACCTAACTGGTAAATCCAAGTCAAAAGCTGCCTAAATACAGAGAGCAAACTGTTCAATTAAACCCTCCCAAGGGACATGCTGTATTAAAATTCAGAACAGCTATACATAATTCTAATCCAGCAGTGAAAGTGACTATAAATATTCATTAATGAGCAGTGGCAAATGCTCAGGAGGTGCTTTATCTCTAACACTTAGAGTAGCCTAGAAAAGTGAGTGACATTATCTTCTCTTATATTGGGGGAAGTAAGGCTCAAAAGTGGTTGAACAAATTGAGGACAGTCCCACGTCGTGACAAAACTGAGGCTGCAAACAAAATCCTTTAAAAGAGGGTACTTATTCTGTAACCTCTGCTCTCCTTAAAAGCTGTTTATCACATGTTTGTTTGTTTGTTTGTTTGTTTAGTGGTGGTGGAGTGTGTGTGTGTGTGTGTGTGTGTGTGTGTGTGTTTAGGTCAGAGGACGATTTTCAGGAGTCAGATTTCTCCTTGCACCATGTGGGTCCTGGAGATGAAACTCAGGTTATCGGGCTTGGCAGCAGGTCCCATTACCCAGTGAGTCATCTCAGAGGCCCCAGTGCTGCTTCAATAGGAAAATAGACGTGCACTCCATTGCACTTAACTCTTGCAAAATCACTGGGGCAAAAACACATCCTGGGTAACACGTGTCAGGCAGACAGCAAAACCACTAATATAGGGCCTTTTGGGCAAACTCTGGGCTTCCACTCCTTAAAAGCTATCCCTTTCTCATCAGGATCCAACTCATCAGAGTTAGGAGGCCCATTGGAATAGGAGGAAATCAATCCCAGGGCATGGTTCAACCCCACCCCGCAAGACCTCAGGAGACGGCTATCATGACACACCTCCCGTGGAGCCTGCACATCCACAAACTCCTCAAAGATCCTGTGGGCCTTGGTGACTAGCTTTGCAGTCGACCTGGTCTTCTTGAACTCCTCACAAGCCAGCCAGAACTCCAGGTTCTCCTCGCTGAACTCGGTCTTCAGGAAGGCACGGAAGGCTGCCACCCCATCTATGGATGCAGAAAGAGGTGGGAGAAAAGACAGATAGGAAGATGCTTAAGACCAAAGAACGCAGATGAAAGAGACACAATACCAGTTTGCCAACATCCTCACTAGCCAAGCCTGTTGCTCCTTCACACCCTCTGACACACAGTTATCCTAGGAGCAAGCCAGGCTTCTTGTCCATGGGCCAGCGTGCAGTATCAGGCAGAAATGTTTAAGCCCCATAGTGACAGCATCAGTCAGTTGTGATTAAACTCTCAGAGTTTACTACCCTTCCACTAACACAGAGTTGGCTGAATCCCAAGTCTATTGGTAAAGCCAAGGTAACAGGCAGTGTACATTCTATAGCCTAAGCTGAGTCCACACCAGAGAGAAGAGTCAGGCCATTGTAAGACAAACTGAATGGGACTATGAATGGCTCAGGGACAACCCTTTACCACTGTCAGAGAAATATCCAACAGAAGTCCAGTCTGTACTATATTCTGCTGCATGAATAGTATTCTCCATCTCTTTTAGAAAACCTTTGAAGACATGTATTTGGTGTTTTTAGTCTATTCATTTTTTACTTTGAAAAATTGCCTACCAAATTGGATTCTTTAAAAAGTTTTTAAAATTACATCTATTTGTGTGTATCTGTGTGTCTCTGTATGTCTCTCTCTGTCTCTCTGTCTCTGTCTCTCTCTCTGTGTATGTGTGTGTGTGTGTGTGCGCACGCATGTGTATAGATCAAAGGACAATTTGCAGGAACATGAAAGGCAAAGGATAGTGGTCAGCCTTGGTGGCAAACATTTTTTACTTGCTGAGCCATTTTCATGGCCCAATATGAACACACACACAACCACCACCACCACCACCAACACCAACAACAACAACACCATGTGAGTGTGGTCCTGGAGACAACTTTCAGGCTATCAAACTTTGTAACAGTTGTACTTCCTTGCTAAATCATCTCACTGACCCAGGTTGTATGCTTTAATTGAGGTTGATTATAACTTTTCTGCCAATGTATCTAATGGCTAACCCAGTCTTTCCTCTTATTAATCAATGTCACATGCACTGGCAAGCAGTGCTTCCAGTCACCACATGTGAGGCAAGTCACCACATGGGTCAGGAGGAAATAACAGCTATTTATAGTTTAGATTTCCAGTAGTTGCTTTTTTTTTTTAAAAGATTTATTTATTTTACTTATGAGTACACTGTAGCTGTCTTCAGACACACCAGAAGAGGGCATCCGATCTCATTACAGATGGTTGTGAGCCACCATGTGGTTGCTGGGAATTGAACTCAGGACCTCTGGAAGAGCAGTCAGTGCTCTTAACCACTGAGCCATCTCTCCAGCCCCCAGTAGTTGCTTTTATTTGAAAAAGTTTTCAATCAATTGTCTTAACTCTGGAAGCAGTCCCTTCTGCTGGAATAACAGTGACACCCTTCTAGAAAGGGTTCTCAAAATGAAGAACACCCTAGAATAAGGTACCAACCTGGTTAAGAAATGTCTCAATGACCGCTTTTATTTCTTTTGTAGAATTCATGTAAGGACAAAATGTTACCATTTTTAGGTACTGGGCATTGAACCCAAACGCTCTGGTATTCCATGCAAGTGTTTTGTCACTGAGATATGTCCCCATCTCCCCACTTTGGTAGTTTGTTGTTGGTCTAATGTCAATCCATAGCCCAAGCAGGGCTCAAACTTGAACCTTCTTGCCTCAGTCTCCTGAGTGGGCTTAGCTGAGATGCTGAGATGACTTGTTCAACTGATCCTAGCTCCTCAACAATCTCCAATCTCTCCTCTCTCTCTCTCTCTCTCTCTCTCTCTCTCTCTCTCTCTCTCTCTCTCCCTGTGTGTGTGTGTGTGTGTGTGTGTGTGTGTGTGCTGCATACACCTGAGTGTGCATTTGTACACACCTATGAACGGGCATGCTGGGACCAGAACAAGATACAGTACACCTTGTTGCCTTGAGAGATGGTCTCCCACTGAAGCTGACTCTTACTTCATCTAAGTTGATTCCTAAGGCCAGCAAGCTCTCAGGAATCAACTGTCTCTCCCCACCAAAGCTGAGGTCATGTGCAGTCATGCCCAGCCAGGAGCATGACTGTTGGGGATTTGAACACAGGTCATCGTCATTGCAAAGAAAGCACTCTTACCTACTAAGCCACCTCTCAGGCCCAGCACATTTTAATTCCATACCACCAATGACCTGGGCATCTAATAACCACTGATATATGTCAGGAGAAGGCCCTAGCCAAGACAACTCAGTGCATTGGTGGGACATGTGATTTTAAATATTTATTTTTAATGTATTTATCATCATCATCTGTCTTTGTATCATGTGTGTGGAGAGTAATGTGTAATATGTCATATGGTCATCAGAGGACAACTTTGTGGAGTCAGTTCTCTCCAGGCCCTTTTATGTGGGTTCTGGGACTTGAACTCAGGTCATTAGGTTTGCACAGCAAGTACCTCTACCCGCTGAGCCATCTTACTGGCTCTAAAAATGTTTACTCTAAAATGTTTTTATTTCTCCTGGTTAAAAAAAATATTTTTATGTTTGTCTTCTTTTGTTTATTTATGTTTATTTATTTAGAGAGACTAACCATATTGTAGCCTAGGCTTTCCTTCAACTTGCCATCCTCCTGTGCCTCCTGAGTGCTGGGGTCTCCATCACACATTACCCAGAGTTGGTATTTCAATGTCCACACTAGAACAACAATCCCACAAGCTACAACCTTTTATGGCAAGAGCCAAGGGCTTGAGAAAGAAAAACATTTTTTGTTATTTTAAATAATTTATTACTTATCTTTATTTTATGTACATTGGTGACCGTTGTCATGTGTGTCTGTGTGGGGGTGTCAGATCCCCCTGAACTGGAGTTACAAACAGTTGGAAGCTTCCACTGTGTGCTGAGAGTTGCAGAGATCCTTTAGGAGAGCAGCCAGTGCTCTTAACTGCTGAGCTCTCTCTCCAGCCCAATAAGAGCAATTTCATGGGGCTCCCAGAGATTTAAGCTTTATGGGGAGGGCTGTTTTAAAGTGACTGAGTAGGGTGGTTGTGTGATTTATCATCCAATCCTGGAGGTTTCTGCATGGAAGAGACATTGTTGTTCACTGCACTGGATAACTGGCTTAAGTCACAGCACCACAGGCAAAGCCTTGGATGTATCCAGTATAGAGAAATCAGAATATCATGTAAGGCTCCTTCCCACTGGACAGGATGAAAATCAAAACCTTCCTGTGCCAGAGAAGGAAGAAGATACTGATAGGATTTCGGTTCAAGAGAGAGAGGGATGTTTCAGGTACCTCCCACACTCACTCCTACACAGGTCAAACCTCTAGGGGGGAAAAAACAGTAGAAACACTACAAGTTGGGAATCCAAGTGACACAATGAGCCACAGGGTTCAGCCTGAGAGTTACTTACTCCATCTGATATGGATTTCAGACTAGCAGCCTACACAGTTCTGTTGAAGATGCTGCCTATGGCACAGGTTACAGGAAAACCTTGGATAAGCTACATCAGAGGACAAATCATAGAATGACTGCCCATTAGCATCCTGCAGATGGTCCCACATTCTCTGATCTCAAAGTTCCCCACGGAGATACACTCTGGAATAACCTCAGATTTGCAAGCATGCATGCCAGGACACAGTCACTGCTTACAGATGATGCTCTGTAGTGAAAGCTACAAGCAGACGTTAGGTGGGAAGACAAAAGCCCCAGAAGGGCCTTGGTCAGCAAGAGAGGACCGTGAGCAGCGATCTACAGCAGACACTGGGAAGCCCAAGGACCACAGAGGCTCCCCACATCCCTCCTACTTTTTCTCTGCAGTGATTATTTTTCATAATAAAATTATTCTAACTGATGTATACAAACATAGAAATCATACATAATAATGAGATAATATATGTTCTACACATTGTGTAATATTTGAATCAAACATTTAAACACCCTTTCTTGGTGTTAAAATTTTTCAAAATACTTTTAACTTTTAGAAATGTATAACATGCCAGGCGGTGGTGGCACACGCCTTTAACCCCAGCACTTGCAGAGGCAGGCAGATTTCTGAGTTCAAGGCCAGCCTGGTCTACAGAGTGAGTTCCAGGACAGCCAGGACTACACAGAGAAACCCTGTCTCGAAAAAAAACAACAAAAAAAGAAAGAAAGAAAGAGAGAGAGAGAGAGAGAGAGAGAGAGAGAGAGAGAAAGAAAGAAAGAAAGAAAGAAAGAAAGAAAGAAAGAAAGAAAGAAATGTATAACATGTTTGGTTTGGTTTGGTTTGGTTTGGTTTGGTTTGGTTTGGTTTGGT